AATTAAATTTTTCACATATTTCTTCAGGGAAATTTAGTCAAAAAATGTATTTTCGGTCAAATTATATTTTTACAAATTGATTTAAAACATTAATGAATGATAAACAAAATGTTGAGTTCTAGTTTCTTTATCCAGCCATTGAGGAGTACACTTCACTGCAGAAGTGAAGAATCATATATATATATGATAGAGCAAGTTAATTTTTTTCTCCTAAACTTAAAGCATGAGAATAATCGATAGTTGCGAATCAGGTTTATGGTGAATTTGGGTTGCYTAACCCGATGTTAAGAAGCCCCTAGGGAAGGCATTTCTGTATCACAACCTCGCTTGCCCTAAAGCGCAGTATAATTTATCCAGTCTCAAAAGAGCCAAACGTGGCTCGTGGAATCAACGACGAATCGTAGAAATCCATTTAATTGCATGAGGTAAATTCATTTAGGAAGCCATTTTGATGTCGTCTTTGATGAATCGAAAACCAATTATGTGCTTTGAGTTTTTTCTTCCCTCAAAATAAATTAAAACTTATGGAGAAAACTTAGAATTGAAATAAGAAAAATGTGCATGGCATCGATGTTTTATTCCGAAAGCTTGAAAGTTGAAATTGTGCAATTTATTTTAAACATTTGTTCATTGGCAAAGGGCTGTCGAGTATGCTGGAAACGAGTATGTTGACGCTTTTATGTGACAACRTAAAAAGACAATTTTACCATGTGTACAAGAAGACATTTTTTCGTGTAAATCGAGTGTTAAAACGATGTGCGATATGTTTTTGACTCAACGGGCGTGTGTTTTGCAATTACTTGCAAGTTCCTATCATATTCTTCATTCAGGAAAGAGCATAATATAACGAATAAAATGTCTGTAAATGACATACAGGTCAGGCATAGCTCTTWTAACTAATATCGAATAGTTTGTAGAACAGATTGATTATAAATTTCCACGCAGGGAATCTARCAAGACTTCGGTTTCCTTACTTGCGATGAAAGACACCCTGGAATTTGATAACTCCTGATTATTTTCTTCAATGTCCGACTTGAAATTTTAAAAGCAATTATATAACTTGGGAAACATTAAGACTCATTTTTGTTCAGCACAAAACCAAATTATTTTATTAAGAAGATACGACTACGACGAGTTGTTTTCTAGCACTGTTTTGAAAATGATGCAATATTAAGACAAAATTTTACAACGYTTTTACTCGATTTTAAAATAGATAATATTGTCTTTCGTAGCTAAAAGCTTGTTGCATTGACCTTTAGGAAGCTTACTTGCTCAAACAAGATTTTATCAGTACTAAAATTAACTGGTACTCGCAGACAAAATAAGGAAAAGCGTCACTCATCGAGGACTAWGTGATGAGAGGCGATGACAAGGGTTCTTCAAATTTGGATTGCGAAAAACATTTCGATGGTCTTTGAGAATGCRTCATCTTGATATTAGCTGTTCAGAAGAACGTCTATTTTTGGTTCGTTTGGCGTTATAAAATTTCAGTCCTGGTTTAAATGTTACTAGTTTATTATATCAGGATGATTAGAGGTTGAATAAAATGATTGAATTTGTTTATATAAACWACAAATTAACTTTTCATTTAACTGCAAAATTTCAATCTTATCTTTTGACGCTTATTAAGAAGATTTATGAATTTTCAGTAAAATGAAAGTCGTTTTTTTCTTAAAACATTAATGAAAATTGGACTTTCACTGATATAATAGCGATATTGTCATTTTTGAATGAGGAAAAAACCGAAGTATTAGTCATTCTAAAGGCCGGTTTAGACGGCACGATTTTCGCCTACAACTATCGTATACAACGCTCTCGCGCCATCCTACAACTCGAGTCGTAGGCGTGTAAATCAAGCCTACAACTCGCCTACGACAGACGCGAGCGTGTTGTAAACGATAGTTGTAGGCGAAAATCGTACCGTCTAAACCAACCTTAATAAGATATTTTTGGATGGCAAAACTCGCTTAAAAGCAATCGTTTCAGATTTTGGACGTAATTATTTTAAAGAGCAARCTTTGGATGCATTTCGTTGATAGACGCCGAACTTAAATAAAATAATCTTTTCAGRCATCATCATTAATCTTTACCAGATAATATAACCAGAAACGATCAGAAAATTCTAGAAAATAGAAAAATAATGTCATAGAAAATGAAGGAAAAAAAAAAAAAAGAGAGAGAAAAAAAAGAGATATGTAGTCAAATATAATCAATTTTTTTCCCGCCTAAAGTGTTTCCTCGCGTAAAAGACTACGGATGCGTCGCTGTTGGATTTCCCGCCATTTTTCWTTCTTAGCACGTGTTTTAAAAACATCTTCCATCTTTGGAGTTTTCTTTGCTTATTTTCATCAAAAATTATAATTTTCAATTAATTTTTCGGTACATCTTGATTTTACATCTTCTTATAAATCGAAGTTCTGATCGTGCAAAGCCGAAAAAAATACTTGAATGAGCACAGTATGATATTCGGAGTCCACTTGTCATCACATTTGGAGCCGGTTCCGTCCCTTGAGAGTTTGATAAAACCCAGCTCGACYAAAGCACACCCTTTTGGCAGATCATATACAAGCATGGTAAAAGGATTAGTCTGTCTAWCCAACGTACTTAAATTCTACTTCCATGGTTTTATTAGTATAAACATTTGACGTTTCAGCACCACAAATTTTACAGCCTGAGTCCGTGAACTATGAACATTTTTGGCTATGATTTCCTTCTGTAAAGGTTTTTGTAATATTAAGACGTGTATCTTTTCTTGAAATCTTAAGTTTTGGAGTGTCTTCGCCATCGTTTTAATTTTATTAGTTTGACATTAGGATTCGATAAAATCATTCGATAAAGTCTGAGAACGAGAATTTAAAACCTGCATCACCAATTCAATTTTAAAGACCTTTTCCAGTTATGTTGAAAGATAGGGAATATATAGTCAAGTTTCTTTTTTCCGTCAAGTTCAACATCGAAAATTGTTATTTTCAGAAGGCTAGGCTTAGACTTGTAAAAGGCAGACCGGAAGAGGTTGACTATTAGAGGTCAATTCTGTACATGGATAATGAGCAAATGTTTGTACTTCGCATCAAGCTGCTGACAAAWAGGAAGTGGTTGCTGCACGAATATCGTAAACCCCTCAGAACGACAAACAAACTACAAAAAAACTTGGCCGATGTGATAATAAAGTTTAACTTAATTTCAGCGATTGGTAATGGAGTTTATTTTTGATAGCAGAGAAGGTAGATCCGAACTCGCACGAGTTTCGCAGCTTGAGATGATATTCGATCAGTTTCAAATGCCCCTAGCTATTTCCATGAACTTTTTCACCCCTAAACGACTTTCAAATTGCTGCTTTATACACTGGCTACAATCACTTGTTCCTCGCATTATCGTTATCCATAACGTATGCATGCCATCGACTGAGCAATCAGTTTGTGGCCCTAATTCGCTAGGGTGCCGTAGGGGGTGTGACAATACAACCCTACTCTTACCTAATCGTCACACACAAAATTTCCATGTTGAAGTGAGCTATTCTCTGCTAATACTCCATATAGAAAGTATATTGATCATTGCAATGATAAAGTAATCGTAGTTTCCGACAAAAGGACAAATATATTTTAGTCTGAAGTGTACTTCATATAGTTATGTATTATTTTTTAAAGCTCAGCTCTCTTTCCAAGGATATTCCTAATTTAGATCTATATGTACCAGTAATTGGCACTAATAATCGACAGCAACACAGTGATACGCTAATAAGCGTCAAAAAACGCTTAAAATATTTGTAATTAAATTAGAAGAAAAGAACGTCTCAACGAGTCCATTTTAAGGTTATCAGGATGAAACAAGAATAAGCTTACGAGTGCTTGGGGATGGAAACTTGGATTACCAACTGGCTTACATATCATTGACTGGAGTAATTAAGATTTTTCGTACTGCGGGAGATGCCTGATTGCATTTTACTTAAAATCCTTAAACGCTATTTGATTGAAAGACCATCTGAGCGTGTTGTTAATTTGCTTTGATCTGTGCCCATTCGAAATGTCATTTCTAATTATCTCTTTTGAGGGAAAATAACTATAGTACGTTAAGAGCGAAGACCGACTGCGAACATCGAGTTTTGGCACGCTTTTCATCAACTTTTATCATTTACTCTCTTACACCCCTCGTTATTCATTTTCTATGTTCTTTCTCCCATTTAATAGAAAAATWGTCTCACAACTATCGAGAAATCACAATTCTATTCTTGTTTATGAGACGACAATGAGCCGTTTTCCGTATTTCTCGCCTTTCACGAACTGCCCGCAAAAAACGGTGCTGTTTTCTCTCTGTCGTCGTTAGCACTCAAAGGAGCTCAGTCAAAAGTATTATTTTTCATTGTTTTACGACTTTTCTTTCTGTTCTCAATTACAACACCAAATAAATTAAAAGCTAAAGGTTACTATATGTCTGGCAATATTTTCGTATAATTTTTTTTTCCATTTCTCGCAAAATATTCCGGCGTCATATAAAAGAATAGTTTGCAAAGTGAAGAAAATTCGAATCGAACGCTTAGGCGCGTATTCTCCACAAGAACGAGTTTTTTCTGACGTTTTTCAAGTGTTTTGACMAAGACGTTTTTCGAGGGAAAAAAATCAGGGTTAGAGATAACATCTCTCCTCTTAAGTATGGATATCCCAGAAAATCTRAGCAGGTAACCCCAACTATTAACACATCGTTCTGCTAAGACTACGCGTAAACTCAATAATCAAAACAGATTGAGATACCGATTGTATCACGAAAGTCAATTTGAAATCCAAGATTTTTTGAACCYTTGACAGAAAGTGGGGATCAATCGTCGACACGGCTTACTCTCCGTCGTATCGAAACTCTTACAATTAGCAAGTTTTAAAATTTAGAACCGATTACAGGCAAAAAATACCTTTGTTGTATGTTTTTATTTTCGTATTTTATAATTATAAGTTGTATTCATAGATTAATATTTTTTGCTTCAAGGATTCGTTCTTATTTTTGACGCATTGCAAGAATAGTTGTTTATTGAACCAATTATTCAGGAGTTCAGTACTTTGGGGACAATGTTTTGCTAGTACACGTTGTGTACCCTATCTAGAGCCATCACATCCAAGGTAAGACTATTATTTTGCCTCTGCAAGGGACCGATGTCTAAGTCATTTTCGAACGGAAATAAGAATCAACATTGTCTCCTTTCCTTCCCCAGACTAATTCTAATCCTAATTCTCGCAATAATTATTTGACTTCGAGTTAATTAAGAAGTGTTTGGCTTATTAGAAAAAGTCTTAGGAGCCTTGGTTGTAGCGGTGAAATCTCTTCAAGTCGCGCGAAAAGAATGATTTTGGGAACCGAACTCGAGAATGACATCAGATTTTCGCCGTGTTTCTTTAACCTCGGAGACCGGCCTAGAAATCTCGGGACATCAACACACTTGAACAGCGCTGTGTCAAATTGTAATTAAAAAAGCTTTCGAACTTCTTTGTTCTAATCCAGGTCGGGTCTTAATATCAAATCAAACGAAAAATGCAAATAAAGTCAGTTATATTTACAGATCATTGTTTTTGATAATTAAGATAAATTCCATGATGTAGTTTCCTGACAAGTCTATGTACAAGTGCTTTGATACAAATCGTCTTTGCTTCTAATATACAATCAATTACACATGTCCAAAGTTCAAATTAAAAAACTCCATTCTCTAAGAATCATTTGGAAACGCTAAAAATTCAAATAACACTGACATCCCTCTACAATTATAAATAATCGCTACTACATCTAGCAAAGCTCCCATCTGCTAACGCCAAGGAATACAATGGCAAGAGCCGTGTAGATACTCAATCGAGATAAATTTTCCCTTGATTCGCTATTGCCTGAGTTAACTCGCTGTACGTTTTGAGTGGGCCTATTCTTTGGGGTCACACTTTTAGTGACTCGAGTCCCGAAGCAAAGAGCTTGTTGATGCGCTCGTATACCACGACAATGCGGTTCTTCGTAGCCATCGCACTCGCACTCGTTCAACCCGTTTCCCAATGGCAAAGAGAGTAGAAGTTTTTGTGCTCTCTTGCAGTCTTTAGAGCATTCGAGTCCCGAAATAAGCCGACTACACTTTCTCAAAAAATACTGTTGTGCACCATTGCATTGTTCATCTTTCGAGCATAATTTTCGTATTTCAGTGCAACCTGGTTTAGAGTCATTTCGAGGGCCGTTCACAGCCATGTCAACACACTTCGCCATCCTCGCCTTTACAGTCAAACATATCGAGTCCCTGTTAACGCACTCACAACTTTGTAGAAGCCTTCCTTCGGGTCGGGAAGTGAGGTTGTAAATCGCTTGAGAGCAAAACGTCGGGCAAACCTTATCAGCTGGTCCTGTTATTTGCTCAGTTTGAAAATCATAGCCAAGATGTTTACTGCATGGCTTTTTACCACCGAAGACTCGATATAAATAAATTCCACAGTTCGTAAAGTCTTTTATGCATTGCTTTCTCGCTCTCATACAGTCTATTGTACGGTTGACCAAGGTGTCTCCATCTTCACTTAAAGAGCCAGAAGACATTAGAATCAAATATGTAGCTAGCCCAAGCAATTTAGTATCTACAGAGGGCATTTCGTAGCCGAAAGTGTACAGTGTCACACACCGCTCGCTGGGCTGTGAACTCGAAATATTGTCCAGTGTAAGCCGATGCCTCAATTTATAGGCACGAATGATCGCCTGATTACTTGACACCGCTAGGAAACTCGATGAAGAATTACATTGACTTGACCAATCAGACAGCTCGTTGGTCGTGTGGCGAAACCCGATCGCGGGGCTCACTGCAAGGTTCGTTATAAGCCATATCGATGTCTCTCTTGTGGACTCTATTGCGTATATTTCCTGCTTAAAAGATGGACTTAAGACCAATACTGTGAACCTCTTAGATGGTCGTGTTTTAGGGTTCTGGTGGGGGACAGAACACAGAGAAAGCCCTGGATAGGTGTTTTTAACGCGGCTGTAACGTAATACACCGTTGTGGGTGGTCAAAAGAGAAGTACCAAACTGATTTATTTATTTGCTGGAATCTGATTGGCTGGCTTGCGCTCAAGTTCGAAAAAGTGATGAAACCTGCATTCCTGTAGTTCAGCGGCTATACTTGTCAGACTAGTAAAGTACTTTTGCAAGGCCTGTACTTCTCGAAATGCAGAGTATTCACTTAACTGAAAATAAGTTCAGTTTTCATTGGTGTTTATTCTTTAATGTTTTCAAACAAATAGGCTCCGAGATATGTTTTTGAATTCAAACCGCAAGACCGGCTGGCGTGGATGGTTGGGAAATAAGTGAGTTTTCTTATTCCATTATCGTAGATTTTTTCGTGCCCCGATTGGAGCTTGTGAAACAAAAGAGCCTGATATATAATAATTCGCAATGCTTGGTCAAGAGCTTTGTATGAGAGGATCAAGGACGAGATTAACAAAAACGTGATCCTCTTCAAAGTAGAAACGCGCCTCGGCCTTTTCTGTTTGAGAGCAATCAAAGTCACTTCAAATGAGATCGCTTTACCCGACCAACTGTGATTGAAAACAGCATAGACTAGACTAAAGAGCATTCGGGTGGAGCCAAGTATAGCTGGAGCACTATTACCACACGGTTTTAGAGCGTACTGTCAGTTGGCCAATAAAAGTCTTAAAATCTTAATAACATATTCATAAACACTCTAAAGGGGATCTTCAGTCACTAAGTCAAATTGAACGAAATCTTTTGATGACGTACAGATAATAATTTTTATTTTCCGGCTACCCCCGCATTCAGAGTTCGAAGCCAGTTTTTGGCTTTTGATCCGTGTAAGCGTCCTAGCCATGATTGATAAAACATTGTCGAGTTTTTTCTCAGTTTTCACAATTACTTCCCTGCTAGAAGAGTAGATTTTTTCTTTGGTCAAGAAGGCAGACCCGAAAGAGAAGAGACTTTGCTCGTAGGAAACACAAATTCAACTACCCTTGAATTACGAAGTGCAAGCCATATCTAAAAACATTTAGAAAACTCATTAATAATTCATGAAGAAAACACAAAAGAAATCATGACCATGAAGGTGATTTTATATCGGATAAAGATTCGTCTTCATTTGCATAAACTTTAACTCGGATTTTCTCTATCAAACTTGGTTCATTTCGTAAAAAAATCGGTACACAATGAGAACAAACATCATAAGTTTTCTAAGCCGTTCAATAATCTCGCAGATCGTGGTTTATCGGGTCTTTATACCCGATAAAACACTCCTGCTCGTTTATTAAACATTACTTAGTTAACAACTATTTAGTTGTCAATTGGCTACGGAATTCACTCAGGCAAGTAAAGACTAAACAATGACGYGTAAAGGTATTTGCTTTTGTTCCAAATCCGGTTCTGTTCCAGTAACATCCACTATTTTGTACAAAATAGTTGCAATTAGACAATACATTTTTGGCTTTTGCTTCACGCCAGGATATATTATGGCGTGCAATCCATACTGTAAATAAACTGATTGCTTTTTTGCCTTCACCTTTAACATTTGAATTCATGCTTTCATCAGTGTGTGAGTAATGAGTTGTTGAAGTGTGCTGATTATGATGGCTAATTTGTCTGAAAAAAAGATTACTTTCACCCAGGTTATTTCGCGTCTCGGAAGGCTTCTAGCCAAGAAAATGGGCTAAACACGGCGAACCTAAAACTGGAAAAGGGGCGAGAGATGCTAAAACAGCGATAGTCGGCAGTCAGCGGTGTTACGCAAAAACCACAGGTTACCCAGACCAAAAAAAGAAAGTTTTAGACTTGTAGTATTTCTACCCATATAAAATTTCCGTTTTCTTCTCTCCTCTAAAATTTAGGTAAGTTTGATTTTTATTAGTGTTTCTTTGTTTGCTTTTTTTCTTAATTTTCAATTGCAAATCATTTGTCTTTTTCCATATACATATAAATTAGCTATATTGTCGTATTTACATTTCTATGGTTATAAAATCAATATTGACAATTCTGTTCTGTTTAAAAAAATTTTAACAAAGAGTGCTGACAAATCTCCAGTCGATCTCGTACCCAGAGCCCACGTTCCTATTGTCCAGCGTGGGCTTCTGGGTCCGAAAATGGTCTCGACCAGTGTCATGCAACAAAACTACAGGGAGCCCAGGCCTAACTTTTAAGTCGCTCATCTTTACTACATCTAACTATTTTAGGCAATATAAACGCCATTTAATTCAACTTATTGCTGGGGTAATTTCTTTTTTCCATTCAAAACACTCGTCATTCTCTCGAGTAATACTCTCTTCTTTACCGAAAACTTTTTAAGAAGATACATTAATATGGATGTGTCACGTGATCTGAAACAGGATAATATCACGCCCACACTGAAAATCTCTATATAAACACATTTTTTCTTTTTCTGATTTAATCAGTATCAGTTATATTAAAAAGCTAAGCCTTGGCTTCCAGTGACTGGCGACTTGTCACGCAAGTATTAATTTAGTGATAAAAGTGTCACGCGTTACACATAAATGCGAGTTATCTAAAATCCAGAACAGGTTCGTGAGGTAACGCAGCCCGTCTGGGATAAAACACCAGGTTTTCTTCGTACTGCAGGAAGTTTTCAACAGAAGACATGTAGATATCTGCAAGTCGCATAAGACGGCGCGTGAAGAAGGTAGGGTTGTGGTACGTGCGAAAGACGCTGCCGAACTGCGGGTTGAACATGACTTTTAGCTTCTTTCTGCAAAGAAAAAGAAAGTGTATCAAACAGATTTCGTACGAAAGATCGTCATAGAGCAGTTTTCGTATGACTGTGAAAAAATTACAACACGAGCACGGTCTTACGGCAAGGGATACGCCAGACCAATCACATTACTCGAAAAGCTCTACTCTCTATCCAATCAAATACCCGGAACACGGCGCAGACACGGAACGCCAAGTCAAGGCACTGTCAGACCAATCACCGTTCATCACGGATACAGCACGGCACGCTTACGGCACTGAGCTTTACACAGAAATACGAAACCTACTCTATAGTGGCATCGGTTTACATCTCACCGTAGTTGTCTTCGTTCGGCTTTCCATTCTTCAACTGTGGACATTATCTCTGCACGGTCGTGGGCCTGGAATAAGGAGTACAGAATTTATTTGAGCAACACTATTATTATCATCAACACCATCATTATTATTACAAGCAATAACTTCATTACTATCACTTTATCATCACCACAACCACCATCACCACCATCATAATCATCACCAGTGTCGTCTTCATCTTTACCATCATCATCAACGTCATCACCAACATCATATCATCATGCTGTAACACCACCGCCACAATTATAATCATCTACAACACCACTACCACCATCACCAATACCACCATCACCAACACCACCACCAACATCATCATCATCATCACCATCATTATTCTTACCAGTACCATTTTCATCTCCACCATCATCATCATCACCATCAACATCCTATCATTAACAACACTATCATCTTCATCACCAACATCATATCAGCATGCTGTAACACCACCGCCACAATTATCATCATCTACAACACCACTACTACCACCATACCACCACCGCCACCACCACCATCATCACCATAACCATCATTATTCTCACCAGTACCATTTTCATCTCCACCATCATCATCATCACCCATCAACATCCTATCATTAACAACACTATCATCTTCATCACCAACATCATATCAGCAAGCTGTAACACCACCGCCACAATTATCATCATCTACAACACCACTACTACCACCATACCACCACCGCCACCACCACCATCATCACCATCACACGCCACCACCGCCACCACCACCATCATCATCATCATCACACGCCATAGTATATGCCTTACTTACCTGTAACTCTGCAATAAGATCTTGTAAGGTGAATAGCCACGTCACAGATTTCTGGTATTCTGGATCGTTACATATCTTAATCTCTTGCTGGGGAAAAAGTCACACAAAAAATCCAATAATTACAAAAAACGGACGTCTACTTCATCCTAGAGGTACAACCATTCATTGTAATGGCTCAGGTCACCGTTTTCTTTGGAGCAATTGAGGTGCTCTTTTCTGGATTGGAAATTGAACATTGATTATAGTACAGAATTTCGAACAAAAAAGTGGAAATGAAAAATAGATCCAAATATACCTCTAACTCAGGAACGACTGCACCTGTGCGCCATCCATGATGAAGAACTGGATCCTGGGAAGATAGAGAAACGAGTTACGCCTAGTCTAGAAGCACGGGTGATGTACGCTGCTAATGTGCCACCTATTACGGCTGCGGTCACAGGTTCAATCCCCGGTCTCACCATCAAGATACAAGATACAAAAATACAAAAATTACAAAAATAGTTTTAGCTACAGTATTATGGAACATTRTGGAACAGTCTTCCATGTGACGTAAGACACGCGAAATCCTTCGGGGTATTTAAACGCGCAATCAAAGAAATACTCTAAGGCACGGCATTTACGGAAAGCAGCTGTTAATAAAATTGTATATAGTTTAGATAGATTTTAGATTTTTTAGTTATTTATAGTTTTATATTAATGTTGTAAGTATATAGCTGATGAATTAAAGATTATCTATATGTGAGTAGAGTTGCTTGTCAGTTCTCTCTTGTACTTCGAGGGTTTTTCCACAGGTTTTCTAGCCTGTGTAGCGGCCCTCAATAAATCGTGCTGGGATCGTGGGGTTGGGATTCGAAGGGGGGCTGGGGAGGAGAACCGGAGGGGTAGGTAGGGCCTGCAAATTTGGGCCTGCAAGAATCATCATGTCTGACTGTTCTCCGGTTTTTCTCCCAACGGAAAAATCGACTTCTAAATTCTAAACTGATCATAGTATGAGGGCTACTTCGTTGGCTAGCAAGTCCTACCCTCGTAAAGCAAGAGCGATTTTTAACAGCAAAATCTGATAATGTTAGCAGCAATAAATAAGGCTTACCAAAAAGAACCTCTTACCTTAAGGTCACTGTACACGTGATCGCCAAAGTAAAGTACATTTGGTCCATACCAGCCAGTAAACTTAATGAACTGTTCAACGTTCCCCTAAAACAGGTACGCATACAATAATCAGAGATTGGGTTGAAGATTGATAAGAAGTCGCCAATACCATATAGCACGCCTGAATTTCATTCTCTATCCACTAGACTGCTAGCAGTCCCTCTATTTCCCTTAGTCACTGTCCGTCTGTCTGTCCGTGTCGATTGGCCGAGGAAGATTGGTTACGAGTCAAAGCCCCTTGGGGAGGGGGCTGGGAAGGGAAGGACGAAAGGAAAATAGAAGGACTGCTCGCAGTCTATCTATCCACCGAAATGCGTTCCATTAACCCATCACGAGTTTCACACTGAGATGTGTGCGCAATAATGAAAAGAGAAAATTTCTTGGTTTTTTTTATGCTATTACTTGCCTCAAGGTAGATTTTGCCCTTTTCGAACTTGGATACCTTCCGCCATGTTGGAAGGCCCTGAGTAGTGTCTAAATAGCGAAAAGGCCTAGTGGGAAATAGAAACGATTATGAGTTTGGCCAAGTACACTCAAAGAGCTGATAGCTGGTTTGAAAGAAGGTGCCTCTCTCTGTCGGTTTTGCTTACTCATCATTTGTGTTTAGGTTAATTTTCCTCTCGCTCCGTTTTTTTCCCAACAGCTCTTCTAATGCTCGATTTCTACCATTAAGGTATCAGTCACAGTGCGTGCTTACCTGTATACTTGTTTAAAGAAAGCTGGTTTTCTAGCTCTAGTTACAATGACATCAAACAGATCAGTCCATYCTGTTCCTATCATGTGCTGCATGCCGCGATCCCTGTCAATCAATGAAAAATTCCTCATTAGCATTTTATAAGCCTTGCGTTCAATCTTCTATGCTAGACTTTTATAGAGCTTTGAAGTTGTGACGTATTTCCGGGTCCGACTTCTCACAAAGACTACCAAGAGAAAGTGGAAAATGTTCTCAATGAATTAACCTCCAGGTCATATTTCAATGCTTCTGGTCAACAAGGGAGGAGCATGCGCACTGCACCAAAAGTGTTCCTAGTTGACATAAAAGTATATATTGTGCACAGCTCAAAAGTGCTTCTACTCAGCAAGGGAGCATGCGCACTGTACCAATAGTGTTCCTGGTCAACATAAAAGTATACATTGTGCACAGCTCAACAGTGCTTCTACTCAACAAGGGAGCATGCGCACTGCACCAAAAGTGTTTTCCTAGTCGAAATATAAGTATACATTGCGCACAGCTCAACAGTGCTTGTGGTCAACAAGAGAGCATGCGCACTGCACCAACAGTGTTCCTAGTTGACATAAAAGTATATATTGTGCACAGCTCAAAAGTGCTTCTACTCAGCAAGGGAGCATGCACACTGTTCCAATAGTGTTCCTGGTCGACATAAAAGTATACATTGTGCACAGCTCAACGGTGCTTCTACTCAACAAGGGAGCATGCGCACTGCACCAATAGTGTTCCTAGTCGACATAAAAGTATACATTGTGCACAGCTCAACAGTGCTTCTGGTCAACAAGGGGGCATGCGCACTGCACCAATAGTGTTCCTGGTCGACATTAAAGTATACGTTGTGCACAGCTCAACAGTGCTTCTGGTCAACAAGAGAGCATGCATGTTATAATAGTTTCATGTGTAGCTGTGACTCGTTTATATCATACTCACACAAATGCATATGGACTGTTTGTAATCAGGAATAGCTTTTTACCAGATGACACCATTTTATTGAGCAACTGTCCTAATCGCGGACTCTTCTCAAGGTATGTTCCTGTGGAATACAGCAATATATCATTTTAATGCTTTGACATGCTGTACAATATGAATTTCACAAATAGATATTAAAACTAGTTGTCTGCGGCCTTAAATACAGCAAAATTGTAGACATGTTTTTTTGAATGCTTATTTAAATTTACGTAGAATAATTGGATGAATTTGTCCATAGATTTGTGGGGGGAGGGGGGGGAGGAAGGGGAAGCAGACAGAAAATCGACCTACCTATGTTATCCATAACAGCCTCATACATCTGCCCTGAAGCGTGAACACTCTCTACTGCACTCTAATAACAATAAGAGGAATGCCTTGCAATTTGATTGGTTTACAATTGCTTACTATAAATCATGTGAATTTTGTTGACAGTTGACTGGGGGCAATTAATATGCTACCAGTGACTTTTAAGTCAGAACATGTCAATATGAGTCCTCAAAGTATTCTAGCTGATTATTTCTATGGCCTGAAACCAGAAATCAAGATACGGATACAAACACCAAGATATCCCTTGAGATTACTTTCCCCAGTCAAAACATAGGTTTTGTTAGAAGTGGTGTCTATTGATAGAAGTAAATTGTAGCATTCACAAGATGTCCTTATCAGTCATTGAAGATTTTACTCTATTCCTTTACTTACCACACAATCATGAAATAGATTCTCAGGGTCATACGGAATTCCCTTTTGATAAAGAAACTGCAGAAAAAAGGAGGCATTTATCTTTAAAAAAACTTTTATTGAAAAAGGTAGCCCAAAATCTGTTTGTGGTAGCCATATAATTCTATAAAGTAAATGTATGGGGTTTTCGAATTTTCCAAGATATCTAGAAGCTTGGGCTACCTGTGGAAAATGGTGACCCTATGTTCATTCCCATGAGAATAGCCCTGTGTAGACTCATCCTGAAGCATTGAATGTGAGTCTACAATGGTAAAATCTGATGTGTAAGAAAGGTCAATGATTCAAATTTCCTCTGGATTTGATACAGTAATGATGAAAAGGTAAATTATAC